CATGATCCCAGGGTCCTGGGATCGAGCCCCGCATCGGGCTCCCTGCTTGGTGGGAAGCCTGCTTCTCCCTCTCCCACTCCCCCTGCTTGTGTTCCTGCTCTATCTCTCTCTGTCAAATAAATAAATAAAATCTTTAAAAAGAAAAGGCATGTGTGAAAGGCCGGCTGCATTTGGATGTAGGCCACGGTAGGCTGTGTGCCTGGTTGTCTGCCCTAAATACCATGTCCTAGAAGACACACTTTGTACCCTTTCAAGGCCCCTGTAGCACACATTAACAGTGCCTTCCACTGAGTGGGCTTCAGTAAACATGTATTAAACTGGCCAGGCTCGTATGGATTTAATTCCTGTCCCCAGGGCTGCTCTTTTCCAAGAAAGAAAAACAAAAAAGCAGGAAGAATAAGCTAAACAGGAGAAACAATATGAAATAATTCACAATGCTTCAGAAAACTCTCCCTGTAAGCCCCAAATCTTGCTCATCTATGTTATCTAGAATTGCAAAATATGTTTCCCTAATATTTTGGCAAGAGACTATCTTCATGTCTTCTCAACAGTGGGAGTAACTGGTGTGGGGGGGGTGAGTTTAAGGCCCTGGGGAGACAGTGCTGCTTGGCTCCAATTATGTGTTTGGTTGTCTCCTCCCTGGGAACCCCAAACGTGGGGAGGGGTGGGTTCTGGATCAGAAGGAAGCACACGGTACAGCCTGATCAGTACCAAGAAAAGTCTTGGGAGTTTACCTCCAGAACCCAATCCACGTTGGACGATTTTCAGCAGGTATGACCCTGTCTTGATCTACTTTCCTGTCTGTGTAGGAGCTTTTCTGTCAGGCACGGGTGGATGTTTAATCAATAGGATGATCTGATACTCCTATTGCTATTACAGGCTCAGGAAATAAATTTAGCAACGAACATTATTTTTCCAGGCATAGAAATTGTAACATAAAATTTGCCTGGATGGAAAGAAAGCTCAGAAATCTTGACTTATACGGGTATCTCTGACTTACACGTATACCTGTGTTGCATACACTTTTGAAACTCATCCTGATCTTTCAGGTTCCAGTGGTTTAAATGGCTTCCAGGGCTACACTTCCAGAAACAAGCTTCAAATCGGCTTACGTTGCATGCATGCAAGATGATTATCACCAGCCTTCTCTGTGGTGCAAACTAGTTCTACGTTAGCAGTTGTACAGAGAATCACGTTAACATAGCTTATGTTAGAAAGCCAGTCTTTAAGGAATCACTCAGAAAACAATTGTTCAGGGGCACCTGGGTGGCTCAGTCGGTTCAGCATCTGCCTTCGGCTCAGGTCACGATCCCAGGGTCCTGGGATCGAGCCCCGCATCGGGCTCCTTGCTCAGCAGGGAGCCTGCTTCTCCCTCTCCCTCTGCAGCTCCCCCTGCTTGTGCTCTCTCTCTCACTCTCTCTCTCTCAAATAAATAAAAGCTTTTTTAAAAATTTAAAAAGAAAGCACTAAAAAAAAAAAAACAATTGTTTACTGAGCAGGCAAGACACTAGATATACAATGATAAGCAAACAGGTGCGGCACTCATTTCAAGGAACTTACTACCTAGAAGGTCTTTTTAATTAGAATAGAATAACAATTTCACGGGTAGTTTTATACTGTGTCAACTTAGCCTACATTCGAACTACATTTCTCAGGATCCCCTCCCCAGTCCCGTTTGCCACAAGAGAAACCTTCATGCATTTTGGAACGCACAGATGAAAGCACAGGCTGATTGTGTGCTGGGCGCCAGGCCCTGCTGCAGCTTGCGCACGTCGTCACCGACCAGCGGGAGCCACATGTTGGCACAGGGCATAGCTGGTGCGTCTTCAGAACTTGCAGTATCTGCCTCAGTTTCTCCCCTCCTCGGGCCAGGTGCCTTCAAGCTCCAAGGTGAAGCCCACAGCTCCTTCTGCGAGTCGCCCAAGTCCACATGTTGAGGCAGTGAGAGACAATCAGAGCTTCCAGTTTGTTCTTGTTCTCTCCCATTTCACATCCAGCTTTTTTTCCCCCAATGGCAGACCCTGCCTGCCCACAGTGACTTCAGACCACCAGAACCCAAGGGGACAGCCTGACACAAACTTCTCCAGCAGCTCACACACCTGTGGAAGGTCTAATTACTATAATAAAGATGTTATCCTATATCTCTCTTGGTGGTTCTGGTTCCCTGATTGAACCCGGAAGCATCAATTACCTACAGTTTAGAAGCAAAGGGCTTTGAGGACAGTAGAGAGTTTATAAGCCTTTCGATAAAGAAATGGTTTTTAATTCATATTCATATAAGTAATACCGGTCTTTGCCAATCTAAGCGACAGGGAGATGTGCCAGCTTTCATGCTGAGCGCACAGATCCCCTTTGGCAGCCAAGTTTCAAAACACCAATCCAAACCTTCTCTGTCGTTTCCCCATCTAGCCTGCTTCTCTTGCCTCAGCTATGATTTAGGGGAGGCACAATGTAATGGCAAGAGCATCAAATTCAAAGGAAGCAAGAAATCTGAATTTAGAACCGCCACGGCACAGCGATGTGCTGGAGTTAAGATGTTCACAATCAGTTCCAATGACGGTTACAAAGACTCCAATTTTCATAAGAAACTTTTCAACTTGTTGTGATAGATATTAATATGAAGACATCCTCTTTCGCAAGTCTATATATGACCCTGATTATTTACAACTCAGGGTCTGTTTGCATTTAATTCCTTCCCCGCAAGAGACACCTGCAAGGGATTTTTTTTCCCCCAGCAAACCTGCAGAAGGAGCTGGTTCCTTAGAGAAGCAACAAATGCCTTTCTCAGATACAAAGACTGATCAATCATTGGGTTGATTCAACTCAAATACACCAATGACACGTAAAGAAGGCGAGCTGAGGGTTGCTGCAAATGGATGTTTTGAGGCCTGAAGCAAGTAGCTGAGCTAACAAAGGGGGAGATCACTTGGGAAAGATCACATAGTTCTGAAATCATCTGGTCTTGTGTTTTTCTGTCCCACTAGACCGCATGCCTCCTAAGCACAAGGCCTGGCATATAGGAAGTGTTTAATGAATTTTTTTTTTAACCTAAAAGACCTGGTTTTTGTTAAAAGAGGAAACAAACCCGTATTTTTCAAAAGAAATTTACTGAAGATGACATGGTCTTAAAAGACCAGGAAGTACTCCTCTGTAAAGGAGCTGGTCTCCTGAAGCTGGTCATACAGACTCGAGCAGCCCACTGTTCCTGCTTTCCCAGGAAAAACAGAAATGAAATAATGGGACCATAAGAAGATTCTGGATTCCCCAGGGTATGAGCCGGGCAACTTAGGATCATTTGCCTTCCTCATTCCATGCGGGCTCTTAGGAAAGAGAACACAACCTACACCTTATAAAAACTCAAATCACACAGCACAGCAAGGAAGAGTATGAGCACTGAGGTAACTGTCATCTACCAGATAGTTGCCGACGAGGAAAGGCTGACACTGATGACGGCCTTCGACACCTGCGACATTAGTGGGCATCCTCGGCAACAGCCCTTGCTCCTAGATATAGCTGGAGAATAGCACCTTCGCTGGTAGCCAAGGAACCTCATTTGGTAAAATCAGCTACAAAGACTAGTCATCCAGTGACAAGTGCCTCCCAGGAAAGAGCCTCTTGGCTCCCTGGATGGTGAGCATCCCCCCTGGCCAGGTTTCAAGACTCAAAGTCACCAGCATTCCCCACCACCCCTCACCCACACTGGTTTTCTCTTCTCGGCACTTATACGTTCCCTGAACCAGCTGATCCACCTGCTATAGTTTCAATGACCAGCCTCTCAGTTCCTAAGTGTGAGACCTGTATGAATAATGATCACCTAATAGCCATCGTCACCTGCATTTCCAGAATGCGAAATAAATTCTTTCATGAGCACCTACAATGGACCAGGCTTGGGATACATCAGGGAACAAAACACAGATTCCTGCCCTTCTGGAGCTTACATCCTGGTGACATGTTTGCCGAATTCGGCATGTTCAGACAGAACTGGTTTCCTTTCCCTGCTCCTCCGCCTCTGCCTTCTCAATTAATGGCCCCATCATTCACCCAGTGGCCTCTCTTCTACCTTACCCTCACGAGGTCCCAGATGCTGTCAGCTTCATACTTATCTCTGTGACCACACCCCACTGCTCAGAGGACCCCCAGTCCTTTGCCATGTGACCCAGCCCCTGCTATCAGACTTATCTCCACTACATCCCTTGTTCCATCTACATCCAACTGAACCCGCCATTCATTCATTTCCACGTCCCTTGTCCTCTAGCATGTTTATCCCCTTGCCTCCACCCTCCCTCCTTCCCCTGGCCTAGTAAATGCCTCCTCATCCTCCAAGGACCAGCTCAATTGACATCCCTTCTTGGAAGACTTCTCTATTCAAGTAGTTGTTTGCTTCCTCCTCCAACCAACTTATGATACTGTACTGATATGCTTACCTGATTGCCACCCCCTCCAGACTGAGAACTCACTGAAGCCAAGGATCACACTGTCCGCCTTGGACTACTCCAGTCACCCCCCGCCCCAAGCACCATGCCTGGCATGCAGGAGGTGCTCCAAAAAGTCAACTGTTCAATTTTGGTAACCTTCTTGCATTAGAAATAAAAGCCTTTTGTTCACAAGCAAGAATCCCTAGTTCAGCAGAAAGCATTTTTCTCTTTCTAGGGCCTGGAGGTACTAGATTAAATAAGATAATCACTCACTTCACTTCTGGAGGCAACAGCCCGGTGCAGTGGGGTCAGCCACATGTTGTCCTTGGCATTTACACGAGCTCCTGGAAGCAGAAGCACAAGTTAGAGGCATAAGGTAGTCGGGAAATTCTACTCATGTTAAGTCAAATGTGGTATCTTGTGCTCTCATTTGCCTGGTACAACCACCATATTTTGTTTTGTTTTTTCTTTGTATCAGTCATGCACTTTCTAGCCACCAGACAGGAGGAGAGACCCAGTACAGTAGAGAAGTGAAATCAGGAGCTGAAAACGGCACAAGAATTGGGTAAAGGCTAGATGAGAAGTGCGGTATCTCCTTGGACAGGAGACCCAGTTGTAAAAAGGCTGAGGTTCTCCAGGAGTAGGGAAATGTAGATCCTGAAGAACGAAGAACTTTTCAGGTATGTGTGTACGTATATAAATATATACATACATATATAAAATATATAATTATACATAAATATAACATTTTAAATATAAAATATATAGTCACATATATTATTTTTAGTCCTTAAGCATACTTATCTCACAGGGCACACAATACCCTTCTTGGCAAACTGTCGAAGATGAGCAGCCTTCTAACAAAGATATACTAGAGGTCAGCTGGATTTCAAACAAATCTTGTAAAGTTGAATTTGATGAGACTTGATCCGGGCTGAAGGGATTAGCAGAAATCTGTTCTATCCAAGAATCTTATATCTCTGGGACTAGCCAGATATCTAGGTAGGAAGCAATCAGCGTCCATGGAGCTTTTGGACAGACATACCAGGAAGCCTATGCAAATTGCTCATAGTTTCTTCCACTATGGGGCAGGTAGACAGGTTCACACATGAGCCAGAACCAGCTCACACTCAGGGATGTGCCCTCATGCTCAACTTTCTGGGAGCCACGTCACCAATCAGGGAACAAAAGCTCCATGTGAATGGATTCCAAGAGAGTAGAGTATGCCCTCCCTTCCATGATAGTCTCTCAATTCTCCATGAGTGCAAGCCCACCAAATCTACAACTGAACCACAGAAACACCCAATATCAGCTTCCTTTTTGGGGGTTCAGGGTTTTTTTAAAAAAAAGATTTTATTTATTTGAGAGAGAGTGAGTGAGCATGAGCGGGGGGGGGGATCAGAGGGAGAGGCAGACTCCCCACTGAGCAAGGGGCCTGAAGCGGGGCTCCATCTCAGGACCCTGAAATCTACCTGAAGCGGGGCTCCATCTCAGGACCCTGAAATCTACCTGAGCCGAACGCAGATGCTTAACCGAACGAGCCACCCAGGTGCCCCTGGGGTTCAGGGTTTTGATCAGTCTTTTGCTCAGATGGAAAATTTTGTGAAATAAAAGAGAAGGGTAAGAGAAGTATGTGTGATATCTTTGTAGATGCAATAAGAGGAGCCAATGTTAGCCTCAGGACAAGGAAGGAAGCTCACGAGGAAGAAGAGTGCAGGGATGAATCAAAGAAACTAGAAAGTAAGGCAGAAGAGGGGAAATGCAGAGGGGATGCCTCTGGAACAAGGGCCAAGAAAATTAGTCAAGTGGAAGCAGGGATTGATTCATCTCTCTGAGGCCAAGGACAGCTGAGAGCTGAAAAATAGAAACCTAGTTTTAAAAAGGCAACAGGTGACTTTCGTGGGTCAAAGTGAGCTAGAGGGGTGCCTGGGTGGCTCAGTCAGTTAAGCGTCTGGCTCTTGTTTTAGTCATGATCTCACGGTGGTGAGATTGAGCCCTGCATTGGGCTCCATCTGGGCATGGAGTCTGCTTAATATTCTCTCTCTCCCTCTGCCCCTCCCCCCACTCACTCTCTCTCTCTCTTAAAAAAAAAAGTGAGCTAGAAATTTAGTTTAAGCAACCAGCTAAAAAAGAAATAACAAATCATAGAACTTAACACTACTTTTTCTCTTTAACTGAAGAACAAATACCATCAACAATATTAATTCTAGAAAACAAGAACATAATACTTCCTAAAACAAAGAGAGAAAGTCTCTCCTCCCCTCCCCCCATTCTGATTTCATTGGTTTGAGATGGGGCCAGGCACAAATAGTTTTTAAAAGCTCCCCAAGACCCAAGGTTATTTTAATATGCTGTCAAGGTTGAAAGCCACTGATAAATTGTTGCTTAGTTCATCAAGTTTTGAATCGTAATTCTACTAACTCCATCCAGGCAGCTTACCTCAGGAGGCTCAAGCCCCTTACATCAATAGGATCAAATAAAATCAGCTTGGGCATGCTAAGAATCAAAGGCAGTAGGTATCTCCCTCCCCTGCAGCAGGAAGTCCTGGGTTTACGGCTCTGGAGTGAACATCCTAAAGGGCTGGGTGCAAGTCTCCTCCCCGGGGGAAGCATGCCTCGACCTGGCCCTTCCGCTCACCCTCTCCTTGTTTAAGGAACTTGATGTCACGAAGTCGAACCAGTCATCTGAAAGGGAGAATACTTGGCCACAGCACACTCTGGGTCTGAGTTGTCACCTAGCCATCTGCATGATGTCTCTTTCCCCACTCTAGTTGCCCCTTCCTTCAGCATGTTTAGAGGAAGTAACACTATGTGGGTCAGATACCTGCTATGGGTACCGCATCAGCTCAGACTCAGAGCCTCAAAGTCAGCGCTGTCCAATGGAAATGTGATGTGAGCCAAGGATGCAATTTTAAGTTTTCTAGTAGCCACATTAAAAGGGGATTAAAAAACAAGTAAAATTAATTTCAGTAATATATCTTATTTAACTCAATATATCCAAAATATCATGCAATTGAGTTTAAAATTATTGAGGTAATTTACATTTTTTTTCATGCAAAAGCTTCAAAATCCAATGTGTATTTTACCCTTATAGCACATCTGCACTGAAACTGGCCACACATCACGTGCTCAGTAGACACAGCTGGTTTGTGACTACCGTGTTGGACAGTGCAGATCTAAATGCTAAGCGGTAGAGCCCAGACTTGGAGACTCATTCGCCTAGGAGTTCCCTTTAGTTCTAAAGAGCTACAATTCTATTATTACAGCTGTGCAACTGCTAAGAGCCTTGTTAAAAATCGCTAACATAATCTGAGCTCTTACTCTGTACACTAACGTACGTGTAGTCCATTGAATAGGGAGATGCTACTAAGATGCCAATTTTGTAGATGAAGGAATTAAGGCCATGAGAATTAATATGCTCCAAGTACCCAACTAGGAAGGGGCAGATTTGAACCCAGGCAGTCTGACTTCAAAGCCCAAGCTCTTAGGCGCCGTGCCTCACTTCATCACTAGCCATTCAACTAAACACTGATTAAGCGTCCCTTCCACTGTCCGCATTTTTCTCTCCATTCCTTACATTCATTCCTCTCTCCCTCTGTCCATCTCTCTCTCTCTCTTTTTCTCCATTTTCATATATCTATTTTCAAATATATATGTGTATATATTCCCCCTTGATTTCATTTCCTTCTTTCCCACCTTTCTCCTTTTAGTTCCAAACACTGGTTATAATAATATGAAACAGAAATACATACTTTATTATTCATAGTCTTTGAAAGAGTAAATTTTGCATTGCATGTGCATAAACTTCAAAAGCTAATGCAAGAAGAACCCTAAATGGCAAGACAACCTATGAAAATATACTTCTCAAAATTCAAGAGGGAGAGGCAAATAAAAGCAACAATAACATACCGTTTCACACCCATCAAATTGGTGAAAATTGTAAAGTAGGACAATGCCAAGAGTTAGCAAGGGTATGGAGTAATACTAAGACGTACATACAGGCAGTGGGAGTGTGAATTGGTACAACCGCCTTTGGGAAGCAATTGGTGCTACCTAGTAAAATTGACAATACGTGTGCCCTACTACCCAGCAACCCCCAATTGTATACCCTGGACAAACTCTCACACGTGTGTAAGAATGTTCACTGCAGCATGTTTGTAACAGCAAGAAACTGGAATCTTAAATGTTGATCAAGAGGAAAATGGATAAATACATTATGGTATTTTTGTACAATGGAATGCCACACTGTCATGGAAATGAGGGAACTGAAGTTTTATATATACATAAACAGATGCACTTCAAAAACACAATATGAACGAACAAATGAAGTTGCAAAGTAATACCTACGGCATAATGCCAGTTATAAAAAGTTTTTAAATTTACAAAAACAATTCTATATGTGGTTTGTGGATGCACACTCATGAAATAAAAATAATAAATGTGGCTAAAGAAAACAGATACCAATTCTGGATAGTGGTTGCTTCTAGAGCGGGGTGGTGGGAGAAAGGATGAAGTAAGCATGTGAAATGGGCTGGAAGTGTATCTTCAATATTTTATTTAGAAAAAAGATATGAGGGGTGCCTGGGTGACTCAGTCGGTTAAGTGTCCGCCTTCAACTCAGGTCATGATCCCAGAGTACGAGGATGAAGCCCCATGTCAGGCTCTCCGCTCAGTGGGGAGTCTGCTTCTCCCTCTGACCCTCCCCATCTCGCGCGCTCTCTCTTTCTCTGACTCTCTCAAATAAATAAACAAAATCTAAAAAAAAAAAAAAAAAAGATATGATACAAACATGGAAAAAATGTTAAGATTTCTTAAATCTTGGTGTACCCGGGTATTACTTATATTATTCTCTACATTTTCTGTATGTTTGAAATATTTACTATTGAACATTTTTAAGAAAGCTAGTGCATCTGAAGTTTTATGTTTCTTCATTAAAATAGGGAGGATTAATATGCTTTTTCTTACACTATTTTCTCAGTTAGTGGCTCTTCTCCTTGGTAAAAATAAAATGACATTTCCATATATAAAGTGGCCCAGTCATAGTCTCTTCCAGGATGTTCCTAAGGCTCACCCCAGGTGAGTAAGTGATTAGGAGCCACGACTGCTGTTGGATTTGTAGATAACCTTGGTTGCACAGTCCAATTTGAAAAGAAATTTTTGGGTTAACAACTTGTTCCTTGCTGGTCCCGTTGTTACTTCTTTCTCATGCTCTCTTCCCTCCACAATCACTATAGCTGACCCCACAGGTAGACCCCCAGCTGTAGAATAGAGGCAAGGTAAGCACACCCAGGAAAGGTGGGACCATGGAAGTCCATACCACCCAAAGGTGAGAGAGCTCTAGAATC